AATGAGTTTGTACTAAATGTTTCATGCTTAAATTTCTTGGTGCAGAAGTGAACTTGAATGCTATAGAGGTATCCTTGGTGCCTTTGGATCAATACTGGGAAAAGCTCAGAGTACACAGAATCTCCTATAGAGTCTTTGAAAAACAAACAAACAATATTAACTACAACAAGGAGAGCTGTGTTTTAATCAAATCAAGGTACACCGATGTGTAACTTGCACCCCAATGACTAATGGTTGAATCAATCATTCAAAGAAAAAAAAATGTGAATTTGGTGAACTTATAAGAATTTGAATAACAAACAATATTATGTTTTTTAATTCTTACTTTATTTAATGGTGTATTATATATAAGTACATATATATTTATACCTCAAAATTTTTAAATATAAATATCTTATGATCCCTACATGTCTACTTGCAGACATGTAGACTGTAGAAAGTCTTATCTAAGTGCACAAACATATATATAGAAGGATTAAAAATTGAAAGCTACCTAAAATGTCCATTAGTAAGAAAACACTAACTAAACTATGAAACATTTATTTCATGAGATGCTATGCAACCATTAAAAACAGTGAGGGTCTGCCTAAGTGGATTTGACATTTAAAAATATAAAAAATAAATTATTTATTAAACACACACACATGCACATACCCCTCTGGGCCTGGTGGTATTTCCTATAATCCCAGTTACTTAGGAGGAATTATGACTTTAAGGGGTAGCACACACAAAAGAATGAGTTAGAACTTTGGGAAGACAATCAGTTGTCATTTGCATGGTGTTCCGTGGAGCACTATGATGTCTAGCCTCAGCAAGAATTTCAGTCTACCTGGGTGCAGAGGTGGATACCTATAATCCTAGCGGCTCTGGAGGCTGAGGCAGGAGGGTCATGAGTCCAAAGCCAGCCTCAGCAACAGTGAGGCACTAAGGAACTCAGTGAGACTCTGTCTCAAATAATACAAATAAGTGCTGGGGATGTAGCTCAGGGGTTGAGCACCCCTGAGTTCAATCCCCAGCACCACTACCCCCGAAAATAAAGAAAAGAATTTCAGTCTGACCCCAGAGTGCTTGGAAGGATTTCTGAGGATTGGAGGTTTGTTGGATGGGTAATGGGAACCATGAAAGTTTTGGAGTTGGGGGAAGCATGGAGACTGATGGTATTGCTTTCTCAAATTGATACTTCAGTGCCAAAAGAAAAAGGAAGAGAAGACAAGAGAAGGCAATCAGGGCTTATTCCCTGGGATGAGGACAGAAGGAGGGGAAGTGGACAGACATTCAGGAGACAATGTGGAAGTCAGCTCTGAAGGTCTTGTAGGCTGGCAAGAGAAGGAAGGGTGACCTTTGGGGCCGGGTTATGGGAGGAACACCTGATCAGAGTAATACTAAGTGTGCTGGTGGGAACAGGTTGGGATATACTGGGGTTAGATGCCACTAAAATCTCCTGTGCAGATGTCATATGGGCAGTGGGACAAGAGTAACTTATAAGATTTTAGGACAGGACAGGGCTGTGGAGAGAGGGTGCAGAGCCACATCCCACCTGTCCCTGGCCGGATCCTCTCTTCTGTCAGCTGTCAGTTTTTTGTCCCCTCTACGTATCCATTGGCTTCCCTACCTGCTTTACCAATGAATATTTTATCCCTAAGAGAATGTCCATTTGTTCTTCTTTCCCATATCCACGCTTACCCTTTCTATTTCAGGGGGTTTGACTTTGTAGTCTTCCATTCAGGCAAGTTCTAAAGGGTATGAGTCTCTCTGCATGTGCCTGCTGCACCAGAACATTCTCTCTAACTACCTGTGCTTGTAGAAACCTGTGTGTGTAGCCCACACTATCAAGAAACCTGTCTTTATTGTTAACCTAGAACCTTCCCTCAAAAAGTCTTTTGTCACTGGGCATGGTGCAGCATATCTGTAATCCCAGCTACCCAGGAGGCTAAAGCAAGAGGATCACAGGCTCAAGGACAGCCTGGGCCATTAATGAGACTCTATCTCAAAATAAAATTTAACAGTGTTGGGGATGTAGCTCGGTGGTAGAGCTTGCCTAGCATGTGCAAAGCTCTGGGTTTGATTCCCAGTAAAGAAAAAAAAAAAAAGTCTCTCCTCCACATTTGCTCAAATAAAAGGCATAACCTGCTTTTTATGTGCACCATAAAAAGATGTGCCCAATTAAATTTTATCTCATAGATAGAATGTCATTAATCAGAAATTCTTCAGGAGTAAGTCTCGTTGACAGTAGTGCAAAAAGAGGGACTGGTAAAGGAGTGAAAAACGGAAGAATGGATGGAAGTGGTGGCTTCCTTTGCTGGAATCCCTTCCACCTGGGCTCTGCAAACACATACACTTCCCCTCCCACCCTCCTATATCAGAAGATGACCACCCTTCCTAGGGCTTTTTCATTAAACATGAAGAATTCGTTTCTGTTTGGCTTTTTCCTCTTCATACCCAAGGGACCTGGGGACCAATTATTGTTTTAAATGCTTTATTGTATTGAAAGAAGCAGTATTAAATAATACCAAAGTGTAAGACATTTTTCTGACCAGGTCCTGCTGACCCATGCAAACTTATCCCTGGTCTAGGGCACCATCCAGAATCCAAAGATACTCTGTACCCAAAATATGCTTGGAATGACATATCATTCATTTCTGGGTTTTTGGTTTTTTGTTTTTGTTTTTTTCAAGATGAGATGATCATAATAATATTTTTTGAAAAATTCCAAGTAGAAAGGCTTAGAATTGTTTTTGCTTTCCTTAATTTCAATGTGGAATAAAGGCCAGAAGAACTGTAAGAAGTTTATTTTGAGATATAAACCTGGGTAACTCGTCTATCCTCTCTCTCCAGCCAAGCCTGCATTTTCCTCCACCACTTCCACTTTTATGAAATTACTTACATTTCTTTTTCCTTTTGACTTCAATATAGTCCATATCAATATCAATATTGCCCCTTCCGTTTATTCCCTGAAATGGCCACTGTAGATCACATAGGCTGGTATCAAAATGACCCCTCCCTACTAAGGATACACTGATCACTGGGGAATATTTCTGAATTTCCCCCTGAACTTCCATATAAGTCCCTTCCCCCACTCTCTGCCCAAACGTCCCAGCCCATATTCATGATTAGCTATTTAAAGAAGAACTTCAAACTATCATTTAAATACAAGGTTTATTCCAAGGCCTTGAAAATAAATTTTATAAACACATATATAAATACGTTTCACCAAGTTCTCTTTGAATTGGTTTTTCGAAATAGCAACTGAGTAAATGTTACATAATTTCCCATTTATCACACTCAGAGAGAAACTGTGAAGTCCCCAAAGAAATATGCAGCACTGGCACTGGGGGGAGGCAAGGGTGAGTCAAGGAAGCATTTTCACTTTTAGGTTCTGATGGAGGATCAGCACATCCCCAAGAGTGGCCAAGATCCCCAAGCAAGGAAGCTAAGAACTGGGTCAATATGAAAAGTTAATCATGAATTTGTTGGGTCCAGAGTGCCATCTCTTGGATCTCAGTTCAGCATGAGAGAAGAAACTCGCGAGAGCTTGCTTATTCCTTTCTGAAGGCCCATTTCATTTGGGTTCTACAAACCCACATCCATATACCCATCTTTTTTTTTTCTAGTTTTAAAAGCCTTGTTTTATACAAAGAGAAATTATCTGTGAAATTCTACAAATGCCCATACATTCATCCACTTAATGCCTTATTATCTAATACATGGTACATTTATACAATTGCCTCAAATTTTTGAAAAGCTAATTTCACTAAAATTGAACCCAGAATAAAGATTTAAAGATGCTGCTCTTTCAATTCATGTTCACAAAAAGATTCATATAAGATTTGTAAGAGCACTGATTTTCAGTGAGACATACACACTGTCATTTGAAAATAAATGACTGAAGAGTAGATATCTACCAGTTTTATGTTCTCTTGTAGAATATATAGGTATATAAAACATAAGTTAAAAAGAAAATATATGAAAGATAAAGAATTTTTTAAAAAAAGGTTGCTTCTTGGTTCTTTAGGCAAAAACAGCCACGATAAAAGAACTAAAACTGGGGCTGGGGCTGTAGCTCAGTGGTGGAGCACTTGCCTAGCACGGTTGAGGCACTGGGTTCGATCCTCAGCACCACATAAAAAAAATAAATAAATAAAACAAAGTTTAAAAAAAAAAGAAAAAAGAACTAAAACTGGCACACTTAACTTGCATTCAAATGTATTTTCAGGAAGATTTCAAGATTTGACACAGGCAGAAACAAAAGGAAAAAACTAAAACAAGTATAAACAAAGTCAGTTACACACTGACCTCTCTTTGAAATATGCTTAAAAATATACTTTAGTCACACTTTTTAAAAATATGACTGAGAAATATTTTTCTTTAATTCAAGTCTTCTCAATCATCTTGAAATCCTTGCAAGCTGAACTCATACATTAGAGCAAATACTGATTTTAGATACTAATTTCAATAATAAACCAATTCATTTAAATTGCTAATCCAAGGATAAAGATTTTGTAAAAAAAAAAAAAAATTTATTACTACAAAGGGAAACATGTACACAAAAAGCTTTTAAGCTACCTTAACGCAAATTACTAGTCAATGTCCAATGCAGTAAAAAAATACACAGAGCACAAAATACTTGCCCAATTTATCTCTTCTAGGGTAAGTATTCAAAAAATCAATGCACACTTGAAAATTCACTCCCAAGAGCAGCTTTTAAGTTCAAATGATTAGAATAGATATACTAATAATACACATCTATTATCCTTAACACCAATAATAAAGTAATAAAAATTAAGCTTAAAAATTATACAATTTATCAGATCTAAGTTTGATAGCTATAAAAACTAAATTAGTCTTACCTTCATTTTATTAAACAAATACCAAACGTGTACAAATTATATAAAACAAATTTTAATGGGTGGAATGCATGCAACATGTATGTTAATTCATATTTTAAGCTATTAAAATTCTTACCCTTTTCCACATTAGGACAAAAATTTAAAGCTTTTAAATCTACTACCTTATATTTAATTTTCTTCAGGTTGCTCAACAGGGAAGTCAACAGGTTCTTCCTTTGCCTCTTCCTCCACTTCTTCTGCTTCTGCGGCTCCCTCTACTTCCCCTACTGCCCCATCTTCCCCCACTGGCCCTATTTCCTCCCCTCCCTCTACATCCCCCTCTCCCTCTATTCCTCCAACTTCTCCCACATCCTCTACTTCTTCCACTTCCTCTGCTTCCCCCACTTCTTCTGCTTCTTCTTCCTCCTCTTCATCCTCCTCTTCTTCAATGGGTTCATCAATCTTTTCTTCATCCTCTTCATCTCCTTCTATTTGCTGCTCCTGAGAATGATCTTGAATTTCAAAAGGATTCTCACCCTTAACAAATCGTTCGTAGCGTGCCTTCACTATTGGATTATTTAAAATGCTTGTGGCAGTCAAGACACTCTCTCTTTTTATTTGTTCCTTATAAGCCTGTTTCCCTTTGATATGATCAGGAGATTTTAAGTGTTGCTGAACTGAACTATGTAAAGCAGGAATATACACACTGCAAGCACTGCAGTGAACAGTCTCTACTTTCATCATGTGGTCATCTGCAGTAACACCTTCCATAACATCTTTTTCAATTATTTTGACAACCTCTGTTTGATTATTTGTCTGTTGTTTACGAATAGATGTTTTCTTAAATTTATTCACCATGCATTCATGCAAAAACTCCATAACAACTTTGTCAAATTTGGTTTGTTTCTGAATATGATCTAATGTTTCTTGGTGTGAAGAACTTTCTAGATGCAGTTCGATATCTTTTTCTTCAAAGGTTCGAAATTTGCAAAATGAGCATGTGAATGCCATTCTGTATCCATCTCCATATTTCTCACTGTTTTTTTCTCTTCTGCGCCTTTGTTTCTCTCGCCGAGCCTCAATCCGCCTCTTTTCTTCTTCTTCACTTTTAGGATCAGTTTTTGCTTTATTGGCACTCAAAAGAAGAATTTTTAGATAAATATCCTTGAATGTCAGACCTCCATAAGATCCAGGGCCATAATCACGATCCATTCCATTAAAGCCCTGATAAGTATTCCTGCAAGCAGAGTGTGTGTAATCGTCCTCGAAGTCCATGGCGGAGGCTCCGGGCTGACGACCACGGCGGGAATAGTTGAGCTGCAGCCTGCAGCAAGAGCTCGCGACCTACCGTCCCACTAGACCAGTTCACGCGACCAAAAGCCCATATACCCATCTTGACTTTCTGGAATATTTTTTCTTATAAACAGAGAGCTTCTGGTGATGATTATAAGGCTGGTAACCTTTCACAGCAAAAAAAACTAATGTTGCGTTTAAAATTAGCCATATATTGAAAGCTATAAACAAAATGGATGTCATGAAATTCTAAGGGAGAGACCTTTAGATCAGAAGAAGAGGTCAAGGGGAGGAGAAGAGGAGGGTAAAAGGAAGTTTGGGGAATGAAAAATGATCAAATTATATGCATGTACAGTTATGCCACAGTGAAACCAGTACTCTGTATAATTAATATGCACCAGTAAAATAAATTTTAAAAATCTTAACATTTTAAGGTAGGTCAGGAGCAGAAAGTTTCCTGAGAGGACGGTCAGGCCCCTGGAGCCAGGGAGGAGTCACAGGCTTGGGATGCTGCTTTTGCCTCGAGAACCAGTAGAACAGATCAACAACTTGATTAATGGTATCCCTGAAAGAGACTGCGTACAATAACTACCCAAGCGTATAAGAAGGTTGCATATTTTTGTATCTTTTATTTCATAGTTATATAACATGTATCACATTTATATAATTAATCTTATTATATTCCATTGTTTAAAAAAATAAAATTAACCACCTATTCTCTTCTAGAGTTCTAAGGATTTATATTTCCCTTCTAAATTTTTATATTCATTTGCACAACCTGCTATTAGGAGACTGATGACCCACTATAACAATTACAGTTATAATTCACCAACTTAAAATTTTTTTAATTAAATTAATTTTTTTAAAGAGTTACACCCAGAGACTGAGACAGGAGGATCACAAGTTCATGGCCAGCCTCAGCAACTTAGCAAGACCCTAAGTGATTTAGTGAGACTCTGTCTCAAAATAAAAAATAAAAAGGGCTGGGAGGAGCTCTGTGATAAAGCACTCCTGGACACAATTCCCAGTATAAAAATTTTAAAATAAAATAAAAATAAAAGAATTACACAAACCTTCCATTCTCTTCCCTGTCTTGCCCCTGTCTGATCTCGGGCCATTTCACTGCTTATTTATCATGTACCAGATGGGATCGGGAGAACTCATACAAGTTCAGAGTTAAGGGTTGAGGTGTCTTGGCAAAATGCACAGCGATGTGAGCAATCATTCTGAACTCCAAGGTCACAGGTTCCAGCTGTGCCTCTTCCATTTACTGGATGTAGACAAGGACAACGATGGTTGGCCGGCATGTGCTTGAACTTGGAGGTCAGTTGTATCCTGGAGTTAAGTCTCAGTCCCAGCATGTACTTTCTATGTGACTGTGGACAAGTTAATTAACGTTAATGAGCATTGATTTATGGATCTGTTCACTGGGAATGATAACACCTGTCTCAAAGCACTGTAATGAAACAATTCACATAGAAAACACCAACCACAGGGTCTGATATGTTGTAGTTAACTATTGTTACATGTCATGATAACTGTTGTTATCATAGCTATAAAAATTGCATGCATCCCTTAAGTACTCTGCAAAATAATACCTTCCTCGGAGTCATCGTAAGAATTATATTTGATAATATGAAAGTATCATGCATATATAATAGGCAATAAAAGTATTAGTTATAGAAAATTTTTTAAATTCAAGTCAGAAAGCAGTGAGAAATCTTACATATTACTATAGAAATTATTTAACATTATATACCAAAGCTAGGTACTGTCAGGAAAAACTCCAATCTTAGAGAAAAAGGCAAACAGTGATAAGATCCCACAGGAAGACTGGTGATAGAGTTCAATGGTAGAGCACTTGCCTAAGTTATGCAAGGCCCACATTCAAACCCCAGCACCATCAAAAAAAAAAAAAAGAAAAAAGAAAAAAAAATACACACACACACACACAGGGGCTACCTGGATAGAGAAGTAGGTGATTTGGTTGTCAAATGGAAACTATGAAATGTAGTAATAGCAAATCAAAACAAGACATTTTTTTAGTCACAGCACAGTAAAGAGCAAGAGCATTGATGTGGATGTGCTGGTCTCCCCCTACCCCCAAGCCCGCTGAAAAACACTATGAGCCCAAACAGAAGCCATTCACAGAGAGGGTTGTATGTCGCTGGGGGACACAGGGCATAGGGCTCAGCACCTTTTGTAGCAAGCAACAAGTAAGGCAGTCCCTTTTCCCTGAGGAGCAAGCAGTAGTTACACTCTGGTTGCCTGCCCTACTTAGTTCTACCTGACCAGCTATAGTAGCTGCTCAGTATCAGGGAATGAACGTGGCTTGAAATTTAGCACACTTGGGAAGGATGTGCAGGGATATCTGAGGCCCACAGGAGACATCGTTCCCCCAAAATGTATACTCTATAAGCCAGTAATGCCATTCCTAAGTACAGACACAACTGAAATGCATGCACAGATACACCAAAAGACATGTAAAATATTATTTGCAGTATGATGTTTAGCAACCTCAAACTGGAAATGACCAAAATGTCCACCAACAGTAGAATGGGTAAATTAATTATGATGTATGCACATGAATGGGTGAAGATGACTGATCATCGTACTACAAAAGACAGGTTATCGAGAGAAAGACGTGACAAATTTACTTAATCAAAGTTTTATGTGACACAGGAGCCTTCAGAAACAAAGACTGAAAGAACCAGGGAAATTATGTATATTTGTTCGTAGATTGAATGAAGAATGGACAGCTGCATAGAACCTGTTGGACCAAAGGAAGATCTGGTGGTAATAGACTTGTGTCTGTCAGGAGTCTTCTTGGCCTCTCTCTGCAGCATTCTTTTCTCCCAGGTATAGGCCAGGATCCCTTCGTCAAGAAGGGAGAAGGAAAGAGTTATCCTTCTTGGTTTTATTTCTTACTTTAATGAAAGAGGGCTCTAATTTCTATGGATCACACTTTGACTCACTTTGGGGAAGATGAATTCTGGTCTCTATGACTCACTTTAGAAGAGCAAGACCAACAGAGAACAGGAAGGTAAGAGGGCAGAGAGAGAGAGAGAGAGAGAGAGACTGCTTCTGAGCCTTTTCAACCTCCTGTAGTTCAAAGTACTCAGCAGACCAAAGTGTCATACTTTACGTATTACACTATCATTTTCTCATCCCCACCATATACAGGGGAATACTTCTACCTGTAAATAAGCCACGGTTTATGCAAAAACAACCTGGAAGAATCTCAAACATCATGTTGAGTGAAAGGAGCCAGATTTCTTCAAAGAATGCATAACTTTATGATCTCACTATCTCAAGTACAAAAGTAGGTCAAACAGTAATGAATCCCACTATTAGGTATAATTATAATGCACCAATAAACTTTTTTAAAATCTTTTTTTAAAAAGTAGGTCAAACACACCTATGTGTTACAAGCTGAGATACAGCTCACCTTTGGGGGAAGAGGAAGTAATGATTGGCAGAGAGCTCTGGGATATGATGTTCTTTCTTGACTAAAAGTTAGTTCCATGAGTATATTCATTTTGTAACAATTTAGCCAGCTCTAAACTTATGACTATGTACTCTTTTGTGTATATGTTAATTTTTAGTAAAACATCTTCTGGGAGAAGTTAGGCCAAGTAGAAAGAATGGAATGACTGGGCTCACTGCCACCATCTTTAAGGATAAGCATCTCTTCTCGGAAGCCAGAGGCAAAGCAGTAATCAGAGAACTAAGTCCTTGTAGCAAGATAGATCTGTCTCCTTTCCATTTCATAGCTTCAGAATTATGAGGAACATCACAGAGAGCCTCCTAAATGAGAATTAAAAGGGGAAACACCAGCCACACCTGTAATCCCAGCAGCTCTAGAGGCTGAAACAGGAGGATCATAAGTTCAAAACCAGCTTTAGCAACTTAGTGAGGCCCTAAGCAATTCAGCAAGGCCTGGTCCCAAAATAAAAAAAATAAAAATAAAAGGGCTGGGAATATAGCTCAGTGGTTAAGTACCCCTGGGTTCAATCCCCAGGACCGAAATAAAAAGCAGTAGGGAGCAGAGGGAATCACCAACATCTCACCCATCTGTGACATTCCAGATGATAATCATCCCACAAATGACTTCTCAGAACTCTTGTTTATAAGAATCCCTAATTACCATTCTTTCTCTTATTTCTGATCATTATATATTCTTTCAGATGAATTACCTTGTCACTAAGGAGATAAGTCTTTGTGTACCTGGCAGATGGGAGCTATTGACCAGACATTTCTAAAGGCTTAAACAGAAAATCTGAACTTTTTGTATTCTAGTACTCACCAAGAAGAAAATTCTGACATGGGGTTATTTAAGCAGCTTAAGGATGCCACCAAAACCCAGAAGCTGGCAATTGCTGCAGAACTTTCCCCAGACAGCTGCTGAAAATTATTTCTAATAAGTGGGAGGCTGGAGGTGGGGTGGCAGCTGCTGGAAAATGGTGGGGGAGGTGAGCAACCTAATTTGGGGGTAGAAGACTAAGCAAAGAAGTCTCATTTCTCAACTTGGATTCCCAGTTACAGAAAAATATATTTTGGTTCTTTCTGCTACTTTTTAAACTTGGCAATTTATAACTTCTAACATCTGGCTGTCAGAGCTATGCAGAAATATTAGCAGAGAGTCTCATTCTATTTCCCTGTATAATCTGCTTAAGTTAATATAGCACCAGTCTCTGGTGCTCTCAGAACAGAATAAAATCTGTTAAAAATAAATAACACTTAGCAATCTGTGAGAAAATGACTTTGGCATGATTTTGTCAGTGGGGCAAGAAGTTATTCAGGAAAACTGCAGTGAGTTTACAAGAAGTTGGCCTACCAGTTCTTGTTTTCAGCCCTGGGGAATTGAGTCATCTTGTCCAAAAGCATCAGATTAACTGAAATCATCAAATTGTCAGTATAGATGTGTACTAGAAACCCAGTGTAACAATTATCCTAATATTTATCCCTAGGATTTTAATTGTCCATCCATCTGTTTTTCTCTGACGACAATAGGCTTCCTTAGGCCAAAGATTCTTTATAAAATCAGATTTTCCATCACGGCACCTGGTACATAGCTGGTAC